TTATTACTTTTCGACATTCGATTTTAATATTCATTTATCAGTAACATTCGAATAGATCAGTGTTATACAGGTGTTCAATAGTGTTGTTGCACATCAATACGAATGAATAATTTGGCATGTGAAGACATTTTAAAGCGAATAATTCTATACAAATTCACATCGTCTGAAGAATGAAGAATGCGAATAATCATATGAACAATCGCGTTGATCTTCGAAGAAATTCTATCAAGTACAAAAAGAACAATATAAACATGTAAACTTGAAACGAGTACCGTAGAGTTTCAAAGAACAATTTTCGATTAATCAAGCAAGAGGTTCCCTCGTTTTAGTAGTCAGCCAACAATATGACTCAGGTTCGTTCATCAGAAACATTCAATTGACACTTACCAAGGCGGATCACATGTTTACATTTGAGGAAATGATAAGCATTCAGTATAAAATCTTTGTATAAATGTACTAAGTGTGACATCTTTGTATAAATGATAAACATTCATTCAGTAAAATAATAACAAAGCACCTGTGAATGTCGCGATTATTGAGAAATCGCAAAGGTGACGAAAAAAACGGAGCAAACGTCTAGCCAAAACATTCGAATAAATCACGTTCGTTCTACAGTAATAATAATCACTGCACTATATCTAAGTAGATCTACATCTGTAAATATCATTCAGAAAAATTTCAATCTAATTACACATCATACATAACAGTTTTTGTTGTACATACCATTCTCCAGACAAATTTCGGACCCAAACACATAGCACATGCTTAATAACCATTGTTCCAGACCAATCTCGCTAGCATTCTATCATCGACAAATTATACATCAATCAACTAAAGTTCAATGCCTCCCTCACAGCATTGAGCAAACAATAACACAGGCAATTTTGCACAGTTGCACATTTTGCATATTATCATGATATTCAACACAAATTCAACTCCTCAATTCTCACAATATGGAGTGATTAACTTTTGAAGCCACAAGCAGTAAATGCATATGATTGAGTTGACCACGAAGTGCATCGATTTGCGCCCGCAAGTGATTGTTTGCATTGTCGAGACTGAGCATCCGGGCACGATTCTGGGCCTCTTTTACTCGTCGCATCTCTCTGGATCTTCTGGCAGCATCGTTGTTTCGACGACGTCGGTCCTTATATTCAGTTTGGTGATTCAACCGAATCTTGTTGCCAAGTTGCTCGATCTGTAATGCGGCTTTCTGATTATATAAAGTTATCCGGTCATTCTTTGCAGCTTATCATTGTAACGTTTTTATTTAGTGCGATTCACTGGGGCAAATTGCTTTTAAAAGAACTGTTGAATTCATCAACATTTAATGGATTCTCAATCTTTTCCGACGT